CCCCCCCCCTCCTGGGTGTATCTGGTGCCAATCAATCACTCACGTTCTGTCTCACTCTGTCACGCAAACAAAGAAACAGACACACAAACAGAGGCCCCGGGACTCTGTTAGCACAAACAGTCCACTCCCTCTAAACACACCCGACAGGGACGCAGGAATATGGACTCACAGACACACGTCTAATCCGACTCACAGGCCCAAACCGGTCTGCTATGAGGGGACACAAACAAATCTGTTTCAATGAGATCGTATGTATTTTAGCTTTTTAGTTTTTACCTTATTTCCTGCAACTGTGATATCTGTACAGCACTTTGGTCACCCCCTGTTGTTTTAAATGGGCTTTATAAATAAAGTTTGAGTTGAGTTGAGTTAGGGTTCTGAGTTAGTATTTCAAACTCCTTATTACTCACAGGTCCACGTCTAATCAGACGCACAGGGGGGACACACAAATGCATCTGTTTCACTGAGATTTAGTCTAAAAGCTGCGTCCTAATTCACTTTATTATTGCAGATGAGTCGGGGTGTCAACCGGGACATTTAAAGACAGAGATGCGGATCAGAAATCTGAAATACTTTAATAATCCCAGAGGGAAAATATTTTTGTTACTAACTCCAGAAATAAAACAACAGCATATACATATATACATGTATACTTAGATTACATAGATCAGAGACAAATAACCAGAGGAGAAAAAAGGGACAAAGATCCACACGCCGGACTGACCACACACTCCCCGCACACTCAGGTCCGGGGCTCCCGGGGGGGCAGTTAGGATGCAGGGCAGGTCTGGATGTGGGAGGGGAGGGAAGAGGTGGTAAGACATCAAATAAAATGTCATCTCTTATTGTGTCAATGAAGTAATTCCCTTTTAAAGGCTTGACCCTTCACCCGGGAGGGGCCGGGCCAATTGCTGCCATGAAGTGGTAACAAATTACTTTACCAAGGAGGGATGTGTGTGGGTGTGTGTGTGTGTGTGTGTGTGTGTGTGTGTGTGTGTGTGTGTGTGTGTGTGTGTGTG